AACTCGTTTTGATAAGCAAAAATTTTTTGTGAAATGTTTATAGTATGATACCTGACTTGCATGAGAGTGGTGAATGTCACACCAAATAAACAATAAAACATCTAGAGATCCGTCTCGAAGATTAAGCCACTAGACAGCCAACCTTGTGAGTCAGGTAAGGGCTATTAATTACAATAAGTTAGATGCAAAGAAGCTAAGAGGGAATTCAAATGCAGATATTCTGCGAGAGCAAAAGCAAGGATAGGAAAATTATCAGCTCATGCGTCGATTCGTGCAGTGACATTTAGTGACCGATTATTTTGCCTGCTCAAAGGCAACATAAGGCATAACTGACGCTGCAACAGTTCAATGAAATGTAAAGCTTGGAATAGATTTAGGGACAAAATTAGGACCAAAGCATCTGTATCATTTTCGGTGGATGGTTGTGCATCAGCTCCTTTGACAAGGTTTTAACGCCTCCGCCACTTTTCGAACAAACATGGCATTGTTGGATGAATATTAGCATTTCAAGGTGGTATTAAAAGCCATTGCATCATGCCAAAGGAATTCGATTTTCTTCCTACCTCAAAAATTTTTTCGCCATATTCATTCCCGGTGCACTTTATTGCCAACAACCTCACTTCTTGCCCCAGCCATTCAATCGCACCTATATAAATGTTTCAAAAACTTAAAGCATTATTCTGCAGCTATAAATGGAAGGAATTTTTAACCACTGATCTAATCCTCGCAGTCGTGCGATTCTATGACAAAGTGAGGGGAAATGGTCGGCCCTACGCCTCATCGAAAAAAGCGACTTCCCGTTGTCGTGACTCATCAACCTTCTGGTCACCTCAATCTGCCTCTACTCCACATAAAGTGTATTTGACGTCTAATATTCCAAGTTAAAATTTTTTATTTGTTAACTTGTCGCATCTTAAGCTCAGACCTCTACACTTGGTAATTTTAAACGGAATTTGTTCTACTGCCGATGACGAGTGTATCTCTTAAATTTTATTTTTAAACAAGCAACTTTCTTATTTGTCACTACTCATGGCATAAGTCAGGTACTCTCATTTTTCAACTTTAGGCTATAAATGAAAGAGGATTTAAGCCGTTATGCGTGTGCTTGGAAAGGAGTCAGTTGAGTCTTGCTTGACGTTCTTCGTATTCAGTTCTTGCGACTATAATGATGAGAGGTTCTGTTTATGTATGGTCGACGAAGGTAACGACAACGTACCTCTTGAGGTGGAACATCGAAGGTGACAGTGCGCAGGTCGACCTTCCGCAGACTGTCTAGGCAAGGGAGAACAAAGAAGAGACCGGGACCCTTGGCACCGTCGGGCCTGATTCGACCCAACCGAAAGATGACCGCGCGCTCATACTCCGCAATCACCTGCAGCCACAAATACGAGAAATAAGTTGTACCCACTTCACCGACTTCTCAGTCGCTCAAGGCCGAAATGTTACCAGTGTTCTACGACTCTACAACGCACAACATTTAAAAGCCTCAAACCGCACACGCAAGACTCGTTATTTAGAAACTTTAAATCTTCAAAATTAGCCAAAATTTGGTCCGATTAGCAATGATAAAGAGGTGTTTTTTCAGCATAAAGTCTTTTACCCCTGTAAGGGGTAGAAAAAGTAGTTTGCAGATTCTAAGCTTCTCTCTTCCGATTTCTTTGTTGCAAACCTTTCCTATGTTTTAAAGTGCTTGCTTTTTAAATTAGCTACAAGTTGTTTGGACAGCCGCTGCTCCGCTCTATCCACCTACTACTGTATGGGTTGGGGGTGCGTTTGGATCTGCCTCTTTTCCTGCCCTCAACGGTGTCTACAAATGTTTAGTTTTAAATTCTTATGCAAAATAGCTCTCACAAATCCTTTTTAGTAATCATGCTTGATTTCCACCTTTGCATCTGTATGTTATTGGAGCTTGTTTCGAGAAAATAAAGTCTGCCTCGGCTGTGCAAATCCGCCTTCACACTGGTGCCATTCGACATGGACGCGGCAGTCATGATCAAAGACACTTTTTTAATCTTACGCATCTTAGTGCACCGTTGTAGCTTGGGCTTTGAAAAATGCGCAAAGGAGACATTCTAGTCACGTCGAATTTTACAA